GTTTGGCTGGTTTGCTGGGCAGGAGGAGGGAGCACAGGGATCTGTTCGAACTAAAGGTAAAACACAGGAGGGAGTGTCTCAGACAGAAGACACCAAATCCTCTGGTGGCTTTAATATTACTACTCATTGAGCACTTGACACATCCTAGGGTACTATCCCGTCCATTTCACAGATGGGAAAGCAGAGGCTTAGAAAGACCTTAGCCAATGACCCCCCAGCTGGCAAGGAGCATTACCTGGATTTCAATCTAGGCAGTCTGACTCAAGAACCTTCTAAACATTGGGAAGATGTCAGTAGGTCCTTGGGGGAAAGTGGAAGACTTTTGGAGGTAGACAAGTGGAGGTAGATTAAGGGGAAGGAAAAGGAAGAGTTAAAGTGCAGAAGGAGAAAGGACCCACAGCCCTGCCAAGCGTAAGCCGAGGCATTTAAATGGGAAACAAATTAGAGAAAGGGAAAGGGAGACAGGGAGAAAGAAAGGCCACTACCAATTTCTTTTTAATTGACCAAAGATGAAAAACACTTAAAAAGGACTCACTGCCCGTCCATTTCCCAGCTGGGGGTTGAGGTCTCCCTTCCCTGCCCTCGAAGCTTTCAGAAGGAAGCACTCAGTGCACTGCAACCCAGGGACACACTTATCACAAAGCTCCAGGAGCCACAGCCCCAGCTCTTCCCTGGCCATTCACAATCCCCATCCAGGCCTGGCCCGAGGCCGCAGCACTTAAGAGGAAAAAGGTGAGTATGAGGAGCAGTAACTATTCATTTCTTCAAAAGGATACTTGAATGTCCTACTCTGTCCCTAAGAAATGAGTCATCAATGCACCATCCTTTCTTACTTCTCTTTTTTAAAGATTTTATTTATTTATCTTTAGAGGCGAAGGGAAGGAGACAGGGAGAGAAATACCAATGTATGGTCGCCTCTCGTGTGTCCCCCCGCTGGGAACTGGCCTGCGACCCAGGCATGTGCCCTGAGAATCGAACCACAATCATTTGGTCCGCAGGCCTGTACTCAAGCCACTGAGCTACACCAGCCAGGGCCCTTTCTTATTTATGTCTGTCCCACATGCCTTCATATTCAGCCCCATCTGCTTTATTTATTACTGTAATCCCAAGGTCCAGCCCCGTGCTGGCACTCTATGAATGAAGATGCATGTTGAACTCTCATGACAAACCTGTAACTGTTACTGCATTCCATTTCACACAGAGGGAAACTGAGGCTCATCGAAGTGAATGGACCTACCCCAGGTCACACAGCTAACAGCTGAGACTCAAACCTGGATCTCTGAGGTACTCACAGAGCTACCCTGACCAGCCGTCCTGAATTCACTTCGCTCCTTGGAAGCCGGAAGCCCTGAGCGGAGATGGGGGTTGAGGCAGGGGAGAAACCCAGAAGTCTGGATGGTGACAGGTGCCTCTCGGGGACTTTTGGGTTTTGGCAGCTTCTGGGAGATGCGAGAGCTGATTGCTTCAGCAACTGGCTTATCTGGGGCTACGCTTGGAAGGGAATGTGTAACAGACACCAAGGTGAGCATTTCGGAACAAAAGACTCGCTCAGTAAAAAGGCCCGGAGAGCAAACAGGGATTTCCATAACCACCTGGCAGAGAAGGGGCGGGAGCGGCAGCCAGCCTCCCTTAAATGGCCTTGCAGGGCCCAGGACCTTGGGTCTCTACTGCTAGTGAGACACAAAAGCAAGGGCAGGAGGATGACCTATTAGTCTGCTTCCCCAGCGAGCTCTGCATAACCCTTGTCCCAGACGTGAGTAATGGGGACCTGATCACGAAATAGTCCTCTCTCTGGGAGTCTGAGCAGCGGGGAGGGGGGAGCTGATGTTGCAAGAGCATCCCAAAGCCAGTTTCTGTTTGTTTTTTAAAGCCCATTTAATTAGCCCTCCCCACCCCTGCAAAGGGTTCCCACCAACTTTCAGCACATTGTAGAAAGAGGGAAAATGGGTGTACTTAATCCACACAGGTGGTTTTGCCTATGAGCTAGGCCAATCCATCAGCCAGAGCTTGGATACAAAATATTAGCCTTGTTTGCCCAAGGCCAGGTGGCAGAGAGAGCAAAGCGAGGAAGCCATCAGTTTAAAAGCCTGCCGCCTTCCTTCCCCCCACCTCCAGATACCTTAAAGCTAAGTGCACTAAGGTAATACTTGGTTCCAAAACCAATTTGTGCTAAGAAAAAGAAAAATAATCAGCAACTAAAGAAGTTCACAGCTGGCTTTTATTTGTTTGTTTGTTTGTTTGTTTGTTTGTTTTTAACACATTCTCCATTCTAGAACCTGGAGAGAAACCAATCAAATAAATACAAGGATCCCATGGGGCACAGGAACAAACCCTGGGTTTAGCCAAATCCTCTTTGTGAGACTCTGTGGTCACCAGTGGACAAAGAGGGACAGGATCATCGTTTTCAATCTCCCACGCAGCAAACCCTCCCTGGAGCCAGTGTTTAGACCTGGTACTTGATGTGGCTTCTCTCCATCCTCGACTGGCCAAGGAGAGGGCGGCCACCTCCCTAAACCCTGGCTGCCTTTCTAAATCACAAAGCCAAGTTCTCTAAGGTTGCATGTGTTTTTTCATCAGAAGGGCATTTCTGTCCTGGGGCAATTCATAGTCCAAACGGCCCCCCCAAAAATGAAATGTCAGGAAACCTGTCAAAGGGTGTGGGGAGGTGGACATAAAGGGAACTGATACCAGCCACACAAGCAGCCTGGGAAGATGGCGTCACCAGCTGCAGGCCCCCTCGCCCTTGCACCTGCTCTGTCTGACCCGGCTCTCTCTCCACCACCTCTCTCAGATCTGCCCTGTCAACACTTCTCCTCCAGGCGCACAGGGAGGAGGAAGTTCACTTCACAGCAGACACCATTTCCCCAAGCCCCCTCTTTTCTTTTGGGGATTACTGAGGAGAAGAGGAGAGAACAGGAGAAAGACCAGCTGTGAAACCCTGAGCAGACAAACTGCTTTATGCTTCACTTTCTCAATCTGCAAAAACAGAACAATGGTACCCACACTCGTGTTTCTTGGGAAGAATAAACGAGGCAAAATATGTGAAGCACTTACCCCAGAGCCCAGTTAAAAGTGAATAACAGGTATGGCTATTAATCGTAAGAACTATATTATTAATACGTAATATTATTATTGATCAGACGCAAGAACTTGTGAGGTGGATACAAACTAGACTAACACCCCATTGGTGATACAAATGTCTTGATGTGGGAAAAGAAAGTGACCAGCACCTGTGTTGGGACACCTCACTTACACAAGCATAATACACACTTCTGCTTCTAACCCCTGATCCGTTCCACAAGGCTGGGTCAACTTTGCCTCCTCCCAGAAGCCAATCCTCACTGTCCAATGCTACCCATCAAAACATTCCAGGCACCTGAATACCCATGTTCCACTGTGCCCTATAAGTGGGTCCTGGGGCATTTTTAGCAACCTGTTGGAGCATGCAGTACTGGAGTTGTCTCTGTATCTCCATTTATTCCCAGGTGCCCAGCACAGTGCTGGGCAGAACCCACGGCCAGAGGTAATGGCAGACCCTTGGCAAGAATCAGGCAAACACTTCCTCACTGATCCAATAGAAAGCTCCACGCAACACAGACAGTACTCAGAAAAGCAAATATATTTTAATCAATCAAGCTGTGGTTTCTGTTTAAAAAAAAAAAAGCCACCCACTACTGGAACAACTTCCAAATTTCAAAATTTTTTTCAGACAACAGCATGATTGCCATAGATTGTCCACGCGGCCAAAGACTGGAAGAATAAACAATGAGTTCCCTCCGGGGGATTGTGGGCGATTTCTTCTCTCAAAAAGTGCTTCTTTTATTATAATAATAACTCGCCTAGTCGACTAAAATCAAGAGGGAGGAGGAAAGTCGTTTGGTAAGAAAAAAGTAAACCAAACTGAAAGGTTTGACTCCTGGTGAGGACACGTGCCTGGGTTATGGGTTCAGGACAAGACTCCTGTGAGAGGCAACCCGGTCTACATTTCTCTCATGGGGACGTTTCTCTTCCTCTCCTCCCTCTCTTCCCCCTCTCTCTAAAATCAATAATACAGCCCTGGCTGGTATAGCTCAGTGGATTGAGTGCAGGCCTGTGAACCAGACAATCGCGGTTCGATTCCCAGTCAGGGCACATGCCTGGGTTGCAGGCCAGTTCCCAGTGGGGGACACATGAGAGGCAACCACACATTGGTATTTCTCTCCCTCTCTCCTTCCCTTCCCCTCCCCTCTAAAAATAAGTGAGTAAAACCTTAAAAAGTAATACAATAAAATTAAATATGAAGAAAACAAGGAAAAAAGCACCTGGGTATTGGGGACACAGATAAGAAAGCAACCTCCCTTGCTTTCACCCCCAGACAACACAGAAATGAAACAAGGCAAACTCTGGAATTCTGATTATCACAGCGATAACAGGTCACAGAAGTACATTTGTGCATTTTCACTCCCTGAGTCAGAGCTACCAGGCTTTTTTTAAAAACATCACTCTTGGGAGAGTGGTACCTGCACCCAAGTGTTTTCATCTCTGTAGGTAAAAGCCGCAACCTCGGGGCTGAGAGGGCTCCCCGGAACTGCAAAGGTGATGCAGAGTGGGAGGGAGACGCTCCTTCAAATTCCCACCCTGTGGGCCTCGGACAAGGGGGCTGCACCCTCTGAGAGCCTCCCTTTGCTCACCTGTGAATCAAGAATTGCCACTCTCCTCCCGCCCTGCCCACATACTAGATTTTTGCAGTATTAAATGACAGACTGTCTCTGAAGTAGCTAGAAACGCCGGAGACACACTGAAAGCCTGTTAGTGTCCCCTCCTCGTGACATAATTCATCAACCAGATCAGCCCCTTCGACCACCAAGCTCCACCAGAGCGACGCTCAGACCCCTACGTCTGCAGAAATTCCAAAGGGACGTCGTTTGAGTCAAGGAAGAAGGCGTTGGCCCAGTCAGGATTTCTCGGACCCTGCCCGTCCCTACCCTCCCGGCCCCAGGACCCGGGCCGCGCGCCCTCACCTCTGCCCAGGACTCGGCCTCTCTCCAAGTGCCGCCGGGGCACCGTGAACGTGTAGCTCTCGGCGCCGAAGCCGGGACGACACGGGTCTGGCTCCTGGCAGGAGCGCGGTGAGACCTGGGGTCGGAGAAAGGTATTGAACCCGGGTGGCTTGGCGGTTCCCCTCCAGCAGACACCGAAACCAACAGCGCAGCCCCTCCTCCCTCGCTCCCGGCCTCGGGATTTCGGGACCGACCCACCCCCACCCCCCGGGGCAGGCAGCCTCTCCGAATTCCTTCCCGGACCTGCGGCCGCCAAGCCCCCAGGGCCTCCAGGGAGAGGGGGCAGCCGCGGCGCCTCCTCCCCACCTGGCCCCGCGCCTCGTCCCCTCTCCTCCCGTCTCCTTTCCAGTTTCACTGGAGTCACCCGGACCCTTCCCGGCGCTCCTTCCCCTTCGCCCCGGGCGCTCCCATTCCTCAGCCCCGCTCTTCACACCGAGGGCGCTCTCTCAACTTTTCACCCCACTTTCTCATGCCGGGGTCGCCCCCCTACCCAGCTGCAACCCCTTAACTGTCAGGTGCCTTTATTTCTGCTGATTCCCCCGTTCGTTACCTCCGAGACCGTCCCCACTGCTCCTGGCTGCCCCCGGATTTGCACCGGGCCCCCCCAACATCCTGACCCCCGCGCCCCGCCTCCGCCCGCAGCGCGTCCCGCAGCCGGACCCGAGTCCCCGGAGCCCGCGGAGCGGGCGGTGGGCGAACCCGCGCTCCCCTCCGCCGAGCAGCTCAGGCGGCTCGGGGCGTTTGGACCCGAACATTGTTGCAATAAAGGGACGCGGGGACGACAAGAAAGAGGAACGAACGACTGGAGAGGAAGGGACTAGGGGCCCGGGCGCGGCTGACGGGCGCGGAGACGTCCCCGCAAAGCCAGGGGACCCGACGTACGTGCAGCAGCAGCAGCAGGAGCGCGGGGAGCTCGCGGCACCGAGGGCCCATGGCGGGCCAGGCGAGGTCGGGCCGGCCGGCCGGGCTAGACTCTGGCAGGACTGGCAAGGACTCACAGGTGGCCAGAGGCTCCCAGCGCCACTGAGGCGGGATCGGCCGCAGCCGCCAGGTGAGTCTCTAAGGCCCCGCCCCCGGCAAGGCTGATTGGCTGAGGATGCACCTGCCAATGAGCGGCGCGGCGGCCCAGCTTCCCACCCCGGCGAGGAGGACGGCCGCCCGGAGTCCCGCCCCTGCCTCGCGCCGACCCGCTGACCCGCGGGAGCGAGGGTTGGGCGCAGGGGCCCCGGGATTCCTTTCACCACCGAGGCGCCACCCTGCCTCGCTGTGGGCGGCTAACACCTGGGCTTGACCCTTTGTTTAGTTCTGTCTTTTTAACTGCAGGTCTCGATAGGTTCGTGTCTGCAAATCAGCTCACTGAGCAGGACCCGCCTTTCAAAACCTGTTTCTTCACTTTCCAAATGGGAATAATAATCACAAAGGCCTCCCTATGTTGTGAGCTTGCCATGCAATTAATGAGAACAACGTTTCCTGCACCATAAAAGCTCTGTACAGATACGAGTGATAATAACAGTAACAGTAGGTGCTGGGTATTGGAAGTCACGGCGCCAGGCTCTGTGCTAAGCACGTGACACTGACCATCTCATTGTATCTCATCTCCAAACAACTCCAAAGCTGTGTTATTATCCTCATTTGAGAGGCAACTGAGGCATAAAGAATTTGAGGCGAGTAGGTGATGGTGGAGGACTGGAACTCACCTTCCTCTCATTTTAAGGCCCTTTCCTCTGTTAGCTTCACCTCCTGTGGCCCGGGCTAGCCTTCCGGCGGGGGCTGCAGTTTCCAATCTGCCCTTTAATGTTAACCTGGAAGAGACCCTTTCAGAGATCACTCAGACCTGTTACTGGCAGATAACGCGCAGTGTCCCACAGCAAACCAATGTCAAAGCCAAGACTAGAACCAAAGATCTCCGGGTCCCCAGACGGGGGCCCTTTGCACTACACCATAGCCACCAATCCCTCTTCTCTAGAGGATTCTTGTCCCCAATAAAATAATTTTAGGATCAAAGAAAGAACAGACATGCAAATGTTAGGTCAGACAGTCTGAGCGCCAGGGACCAACGACATCTGCGTGGTTTGGCTACCCTGACCAGGACACCATCTTTCTGGTCTCCCTGCCAGCCCCGTCGGAACGACAAAACTGTGTCGAGTCAGCTGCTCACTAACCTTGCGACCTTGGTGAGTCCGTGTTCTCATCTATGAGTGGGCTGATAGGCGCTAATGCAAGAAAATCACGAAGCAGAGTACTCGGCACCTAGTAGCAACAGCTCCATAAATGTTTGGCGTGGAGGAGGTTGTTCTTTGGAAAGGACCACCCCCTTTCTCATGGGGAAGGCCATGTTTAGAATATTTTGCCCAGAGCTTAAAGGTAAATCTGGGCCTATGAAGCTACTTTCTCAAGCCCAGAGGAGAGGTGATGTCTCAGAGCAAGACACTCTTTAGGGTCAGCTCAGGCCCCCTCAACCTGTCTGTCCCCTCAGTTTTAATGGGTTTCCCCACCTGCCCCTCAGTGTAAATGGGTTTCTGAGCACACGCCCAAGCCATTTGGATTTCTGCATCTTGGCTTTCTCTGCCTCTTAACCCACCAGGAGGCTCGGAGGGAAAAGGCTCCAGTGTTCCTTTCCCACTGAGGCCCCTGCTGGACCGTGCATTAAACAAGGTAATGGAAATACAGAAAGAGGCGTTTCCCCCATGGGGCAGCCGTGTCCGTTTATTTTTTCTCCCAGTTATGTAAAAATACATATTTTATACCATTGCTCGGCCCGGGGAGCTGTTAGGGCTTTGTTTTCCTCCGCCCAGCAAGCCCTGGCCTTGTAACTCCGCAGTGACTCTCATCGATTCTTCCATTGCACTCTGATAATTCAATAAAAAGTATTTTAGAAAACAATTAGGGGCAGTGTGGACAGGTCTGGAGAAATGCTCTCTTCAGACTTCTCAGCAAGTCCTCCTCCACGCTCCGCTCCAGGCAGTTGATTGTGGAGGGCTGCCCTCTCTCAGCTGTCCTGGGTGAGGAGGGGACACACAGAGGTGCCCCGTGGGGGCGGGGCCTTCCATGAATGGCCCCAATTTCCTCTCCCATCAAAACATGGTATGTGCTTGTGAGGATTCAACAAGCAGGTGGAAAAAAACCCCAAGCAGATGAAGGTGAGCCTGTGCCTCGATGCTGAGCTATGCCACTGATGGGGGACGGGGGGGTTCAAATTCTTGTCCTGCCACTAGCTGGGAAGCATGTCACCCGACCTCATCCATAAACTGGGAATGTTGATAGCATTTAATTCACGAGGTTCTTGTAAGTGCCCTAAAGTTAACTGTCAGCACTCTTGGCTCAGTGCATTCATTCCCTGCCCAGGTCTAGGCAAAACTGTGAGCCCCCAGGAAGTCTCCCCACCCCCACCAGTTAAGTCTCTTAGGCTTCTGTGACCTCTGCTTGGACAAACTTCCACACTGACTGGTTAATCCTGTCAACCCTCCCAGGGTCATTTGCATTTTAAAGCGGGCGCTGGAGTGTGCTTCTTTTAAAGAATAGAAACTCAGGAGCCATTGAATTCCCTCTGGAGTTCTTCACCTGGTGTCTGGGAATGGGGTATTCCCAACCCCAAGACCACATGCAAACCTGTCGGTGAAGGTGGTGAGTTCCACTGCTTTCATTAGCTTCTCAAATCGGGGGAAGAAAAAGTCAAAATCTTGGAGGTGAGATCTCTTTGAGGCCCAGTCCAGTGTTAATGGTAAACTTTCAGGCATCAACGGGGAGAAGAAATGGTAATCAGAGGCCTTCCCAGTGCCCTGCCTCGTGGATGGCAGACCCTTCACTAGTGCTAACCGGGCACCCTTTGGATTTCCTTATCACAGGGCGTGTGTCTCTGATGGACTTTTACTTCCCAGGTGCCCAGGTAACTGGTCAGCTGGGGTTAACGATTAATCCCTGTGGTGGTGCTGACCCTTTCATTTCCTGACAAAAAGGCGGTACTGGGAGTTCTCAGACTGACAGTAGCCCACCCCCCAGCTGGCTAGGGAGAAATCCTGGGAAATTCGAATCGACAGGGATTGCAGCCAGATCAGGCGCCCAGCGGTATGGGGAGAGGATCCATTCTAACTGGGTGCTCCTGCCACCTCTGCTGGGCCTGCCACCTGCCAACACACAGGGGTAGAAACTGGATGCCCAATCTGCCTCCTACCAAAAGGATGGTAACCAACAGGGGTGCCACGCTTCACAGCTCAGCCACTCGTGTCTGAAAAAAAAAGTGCTTTATTTCAAACACAAAGTAAATTGTAAAATGCATACCATGTATATAGTATAATGACACACCATGCATCTACCATCTGGCTTCAACAATTATCTTGGTGATTTTTATAATGTGTAAACTTTGTAATTGTACCAAACCTTGTTTCATCTTTTCACCTCTGCATTTTTTTAAAAATTAAGGCTTTTTAAAAGGCAAGGTTAGTCGTGGCTTGTGTGGTTCAGTAGGTTGAGCACCACCTTGAGAACCAAAGGGTCACTGGTTCAATTCCCAGTCAGGTTATATGCCTGGGTTGCAGGCTCATGAGAGGCAACCATTGACGTTTCCTTCCCTTTTCCCCTCCCTTCCCCTCTGTCTAAAAATAAGTAAATAAAATCTTTAAAAAAAAAGAAAAAAGCTGTGTTAAGTTCACTTCAGGTTTGAGGGGAAGATACACCGATTTCCCATGTACTCGCTGTCCCCATCGCATTCCGCCTGCCCTATTACCAACACCCCTGTCATACCAGTACATTGATTAGACTTGATGGACCTGTATGGACATGTCACAGTCACCCAAAGTTTACAGTTTATGTTATGACTCTTGGCGGTGTATGGTCTATGGGTTTGAACAAATGTATGATACCATGACAGTCTCATACAGAGTCATTTCACTGCCCTAAAAATTCTCTGTGCTCCATCTACCTGTTCATTCCCCCCTCCCCCCAACCCCTGTCAGCCAGTGATCTTCCTGTGGCCATGCTATTGCCTTTTCTAGAATTGTTGGAACCATAAGGCTTTTCAGATTGGCTTTTTTCACTTAATAACATGCATTTAAGTTTCCTGCATGTCTTTTCATGTCTTGATAGCTGATTTCTTTTCAATGCTGCATAATATTCCATTGTCTGAGTGTATTACAAGTTTATCCATTCACCTACTAAAGGACATCTTGGTTGCTTCCAGAATTGGCAATTATAAACAAAGCTGCTATAAACATCCACATGTACGTTCCTGTGTGGATATATGTTTTCAACTCCTTTGGGTAAATACCAAAGAGCATGACTGGTAAGAGTGTGTTTGGTTTTGTAAGAAACTGCCACTGTCTTCCAAAGTGGCTAGAGCAGTGCACACTTCCACCAACGATGGATGAGAGTTTCTGTTGCTCTGCGTCCTCAGCAGCATTTGGTGTTCTCAGAGCTTTGGATTGCGGACATTCTAGTAGGTGCAGAGCCCCTGAATTTTTATTTTTGCACAATTTTTTAAAGTAAACCCCAGCCCTGGCTGGTGTGGCTCAGTGGATTGAGCACCAGTCTGCAAACCAAAGGGTTGCCGGTTTGGTTCCCAGTCTGGGCATATGCCTGGGTTGCAGGCCAGGTCCCCAGTAGGGGGCATGTGGGAGGCAACCACACATTGATGTTTCTCTCCCTCTCTTGCTCCTTCACTTCCCCTCTGTCTAAAAATAAATAAATAAATAGTTTAAAAAATAACCTAAAGTAAATCCCAGATAAAATGTCTTTTCCCCTGTTAATATTTCAATTGGTATCACTAATAAAGACATTTTAAAAATATGACCATTATCTTGTGATAATACCTAATAAAATTCATAATAACCACTCAAAATCATCCAATAGCTATGCCATATTTGAAAAAATATATGTCTCTTTTATAAGTAGTTTTTAAGTCAGGATCCAAGCAAGAGCCACATTGGACTGTTATGTCTGTTAAGTCTTTTTATCTACAGTGGGCTCCTTGCCCCTTCCTGTTTAGGTTTTTTGAAGGATAACTGACAGCACATAGAGTGTAAACCCTCTGATACGTGTGGGCACATGCGTACACTGTGAAACCACCAGCAAGTCAAGATAACGAGCAGATCCTTCGTTTGCTTTTTCCTTGTTTCTATTTTGACACAATTCCCAACTTGCAGAGGGGATTTTTTGTTGTTGCTGGGTTTGTTTTGTTTTGTTTTGTTTTGTTTTGTTTTGTTTTGAGTGGATGCTTTCTTTAAGATACCAGATCACTGGTTCTGCACTTTGTATTTGGTCGAATGCATCCTCATGACATCGTTTAACACATCCCTCCATCCCAGGGGTGTCAAACTCATTTTCACCAGGGGCCACATCAGCCTGTGGTTGCCTTCAAAGGGCTGAATGTAATGTTAGGGCTGAATAAATGCACCTACTCCTGAACAGTTAAGAGAGAGCTCGGCACTGCCGCCAGGTAGAAACAAGGTGTGGGGCTGGATGAAACGAGGTGGAGGCCGGATCCGGCTCCCGGGCCTTGTGTTCGCCACCTGTGCCCTATCCCATGTGTTATACGAACTGTGTTCAGATCCAGAGGCGTGATTTGATTCAGATTCCATTTCTTAAGCAAAAATATTTCAACTGAGTAGTTCCCACAGCATCGTATCCGAAAGCAAGGAACTGTCTGGTCAGCTCTATTAGAATAAATAAGATTCAGTTGGTGTCAGCTGATCCCTCCATTATCAAGTTCTTCATCAGCCTTTCACCCTGTGGTTTTAGCGCCATGGATGATGGCTGTCCAGGTCCATTAGCTTATTAGGTGGCCCTAATAAGAAGGGCATTTCTTAACAAGAAACATTTATTAAGCACCTGTATGTGCCAGGCACTCTGCTTGACGCTAGGGATATGGAAATAAACAAAATATGGTCCCTGCTCTCAAGAAGCTCATAGGTGATGAAGGATACAGGCAGGCAAACATTCATGCATTTATTTATTCATTATTATTGAACGGTGCTCTTGCTGGTGTGGCTCAGTGGAGCGAGCACAGACCTGCGGATGGAAAGGTTGAAAGGTTGCCGGTTTGATTCCCAGTCAGGGTACATGCCTGGGTTGTGGGTTCAGTCTTCAGTTGGGAGCATGTGAGAGGCAACCAATCACTGTTTCTCTCCCTCCTTTCCCCTCTCTCTAAAAATAAATAAATAAATTGATTCTTTTTAAGTGTCACTGAATGCTATGTACCAGGCATTGTGCCAAATGCCAGTAATTGCAATATACTGTGTAATAAAAACGATAGCTACCATTTACTGGAGTTCGCCACGTCCTACAAGGCTTCTCTCCCCGGTGCTAATACAGTCCTCCGGGTGCTATATCGCTACATCCATTTGACAGATTTGAAGCAGAGGCAAAGAGATACACAGTAACAGTGACAGAACTGGAACTTGAACCTAAGGCCACACGCCTCCAAAAACCCTGAATCTCCATGCTGTACTGCTAAAGCCAGGGGAGGCTTTTCCTTCCTGGTGCCATATGAACTGCCAGGCAAACTTTGCCTGATTTATCAAGAAATGGTCTGTCAAGTTGACCTGAAATTCCAGACTCCAGGGCAGGCTGGAGCTTCCGGTCCATCAGTGGGGTGGGGTGATGATGGGAACGGAAACCGGAAAGGCAGGCCCTGGGCTGGACCATTCAGTCCTCGCACCCGCCTAAGGAGCAGAAGGGATTTCTCCCGTTTTCCTGCAGAGGGGACTGAGGCTCAGACAGATGAGTGGCCAGGTCGGGGCAGTGTTAGGCTGGAGGCTGGGGCTCAGCTCCAAGACCAAATGACAAAATGGTTCCCAGGATGGGTGTTGGTGCCTCACTGCCTGGTTCTGAATCCTGCTCTTTCACCTGCTAGTTCCAAGCATTTGAATGAGTCACTTAAACCCTCTTTGGACTTCAATTTCCTCATCTGTACAAGTGGGAATAGTTATCACACCTACTTCATTGGATGTTTGCCAGAATTATGTGAAATAACCTAAGTGCTAAATAAAAGTTAGTTATTCTTATTTTTTACGTTCTGCAATCCTCAGAAGTTGGGGCTTTCCCTGAGCAGAGTCCATGGGCAGCAGGCTGGCCTGCCCTAAGCCCAGTGAGGCGGAGCCTGCTGCCCTGCAGCTCCATGGCTGGCTGGGTGCCCTCTCTTTGCACAGATACCTTTGTACCTGGTGGCTCGAGAAAGACAGATAAGGTGCTACAGAATAGCTGTTGGGCCCCACAGACCTGTTGCTTCCTGTCTCCCACCTGTGAGCAGAGAAGGCCCCAGCCCTGGTCTCGCTCTCTGAGCCAAGGACCCCATCCAGGTGGGATGGAAAAGTAAAGCTCACCTCCAGGCTTGACAAGGCTCAGCTGCCAATGAAATCACTCCCTGACCCCAAGTCTTAGATACTTGGGGACAAAGAAAAGGCTTTTAACTTTTTGCAATTAAAATATTGTCTTACCCTGGCTGGCGTCGCTCAATGGATTGAGCACAGGCCTGTGAACCAAGCAACCATGGTTCAATTCCCAGTCAGGGCACATGCCTGGGTTGCAGGCCAGTTCCCATCCAGCAGGGGACACACAGGAAGCAACTACACATTGATATTTCTCTCCCTCTCTCCTTCCCTTCCCCCTAAAGACAAATAAAGTATTTAAAAAATAAATAAATAAAATATTTTCTTTTCTTAATTTATACTTTTGGATCCTTACCATGAATCCCTCGCAATTTATTTTCCATTTAAAATGGAACTTTGTGGCTAACAATTTATTTATCAAATTCCAGGCGGTGGCTAGAATACAGTGCAGGGGACTGACCTTGGGACTTGAAGCAAAACCTCTTTTCTGCCCTAAGTCTCAGTCTCCTGTCTGTTAAATGACTCAGTTGCCTTGGAAGGATCCTTCAGTTTTCTCTCACCTCCCCAAACTCTTGACTTTGGGCTCTTTGAGATTGGGAATAATGTCACAGGCTGGGGTCACGTTCCCTGCTCTCCAGGGTCAGGAGTTCTCCCGTGAGTGATATTTATGGAAGCATGATGCTATTTATTGCTTTTCAGGTTTTAGACTCAACCTCCAGACAAGGCACAGAATACTTAATTATAGTTACAGAACAAAATGGAGATGTTATGAATAATACATAACTATTAAAAATTGGAAATTGCTTGAGAAGGAAGCTAGGAGATTTGATAAGGACACTAGATGCTTTTTAAATTTTTTGTATTTCTTTTAAAGATTTTTAAAATTTATTTACTTTTAGAGGGCAAGGGAGGGAAAAAGAGAAGGAAAGAAACATCAACTGGTTTCCTTTTGTACGCCCCCAACTGGGCACCTGGCCCACAACCCAGGCATGTGCCCTGACTGGAAATTGAACTGGTGACCTCTCGGTTTGCAGGCCAGTGCTCAATCCATTGAGCAACTCCAGCCAGGGCCTTTCTTTTTTTTAATGCTCACCAACGATATGTTTATTGATTTTAGAGAGAGATGAAGGGGAGAGAGAGGCATCAATCTAAGAGAGAAACATCAATTGGTGCACACCTGACTGGGGATCAAACCCGTCACCTTTTAGTTACGAGATGATGCTCCAACCAACTGAGTCACCTGGGCTGAGCACGTCACATCCTCATCCTCCAGCAGTTATTTCTCTGGCCATGGGAATTTAGGGTAGGTGGTGAGTTCACTATTATCTGTTATATTATCGTGCTTTGTAATTTATAATGTAATATATGGGGTCTGGCAGGAATAACACCCCCTTTTTATTACAAAATCTTTTATTACAAAATTGTAAGCATGTAATTCTGTAACATAGCAATATCATGCTCAAACACACCATATGACATTTTAGGTGAAATCTTCAAATTAAAACTATAAATTATTACACCCATATTATTACCCTACCACCCACTCAAGCAGTCATTCCCTCTGCTGGACCCTGTAATTTATTATCTTTTAATTTCAAATATTATCTCTTTGAAAGATAAAAAAAGCAATAGAAAAAGAAAATTTAAGACGTAAGGAGTAAAAGACATAAATATAACCCTGACCTGTGTGGCTCAGTTGGTTGGAGTATCATCCTGTAACCAAAAGGTTCTGGGTTCGATTTCCCCTCAGGGCACATGACTAGGCTGCAGGTTTGATCCCCGGTCCAGGCACTAACGATCCCGATTCCCCAGAATGCGAGACAACCCATCAGTGCTTCTCTCTTGTACTGGTGTTTCTCTCTCTCATTTCCTCTCTTCCTTCCTCTCTCTCTAAAAGCAATGAAAATATGTCCTCAGGTGAGAATTAAAAAAAAAATAGCTATAGCAAAAATAAAAAATTTTTGGTCTCTTCCTCCACGAGTGCAAACTTGCTCTGACTGTGGTGAGCGTCAAACCCTTTCCAGACAGAGCTAAACTGAATTGAAGGGGGAGGGATGGGGATTGGCAATGAGAAGGGATGAAGTTCTAACACGTGCTACAACATGGATGAACCCTGAAGACTTAGGCTGAGGGAACGAGGACTGACACAAAAGACCACATATCCTATGATTCCGTGTTTATGAAAACGTTAGAATAGACAAATCTATAGAGACAGAAGATAGATTAGTGGTTGCCCAGGGCTGGGCAGGAGTGGGGGGCAGGCGGGGCATTGGGAGTGGCCACTAACAGGAATGGCGCTTCTTTTAGAAAGAGATGAACACGTTCTAAACTTAGATTGCGGTGATGACTGCACAGTCTTGTGAAAATACTACAAAATATTGAGTCATGTGCTTTAAGTGGGTGAATTGAGTGGTTTATGAATTTTATTTAAATAAAACGGTTTTCTCTTTTAAGTGGGAGGGAGCATCTTGCTAAGAGCAGTGTTGGTACAGTGGTGATTTTCACAGCCCTCTCCCTCCTACTGTTCCTGTTTCACAAATGGAAACATCTAGAAACTTTTTTCCGTGTACATATATAATTATAGCAACAATAATAATGGCTCTCATTTGTTAACACTCACTATGTTCCAGGTGCTAGTTCAAGGCACTTTTACTTACATCAGCACATGCATCATTATGAGGAGGATACTATCCTATCACCACTTGAAGAAACCCAGAGGTAAAGTGATTTTCCACGGCTAGTAAGTGCTGAAGCTGTGACTTACCCACCATGTGCCAGGCCCTGTGCTCAGCACCTGCAGCACAGGAGTCCATCCTGAAAGCCACCACGCCCTCCACTGTCCATGAAGCATGACCCAACCAACCCGGGGTGAAAGCGACCAGTCATCCCTGTTTGCCAGGGACAGAGAGGTTCCTGGAGTATGGGACTCTCAGCATGAAAGGCGGGAAGGCCCTGGGATAAACCGGGGTCAGTTAGTCACCTTACCACAGTCAGTGAGCACTGCTGACTGTCTGTGTGTGCACACACATGAGTGCTCACCTACTCACGGGCTCTCAATAGGGGCGTCTCTCAGCAAGAATCCAAGTCTTGTGGGAGGGGAGGGTGGAGCTGGCCCGGCTGGACCAGATATGGCAGGTGGAGACCTGCAGAACAACAAAACCAGGGCAAAGAGCAAGGTGTCCCTCACAAGCCCTGAAGAAAACTCCAGAGTTGAGTCTGAGGGTTGGGGCCCATCGTTTCCCAGAGTGACGTTCCAACTTTTTCTTCACTTGCTCAGCCATTCATTCGTTTGGTGAACATTCACGGGGGCCCTGCCCTGTGCCACAGGCTTCACTGGTGAGGGAGGAGCCTCCCTTCCCTCAAGGAGCTTTCCATCTGGTGAGATACACAGACAAGGGAACGGAGTATTTACCTGGCTAAATATTAATAATGTTTAACAACTGGTAGAGCCCGAGCTCTGGGCCAATCAAAATGAACACCAGCCATTAAGACCAGAGCAGGATCCTCAGACCCCTGCTGAGCCAGGTTCACCCTTTTGATTGCTGGGTGGTGGGGTGGTTTGGGGATCGTGGGAGGGCCTGCAGGTATGGGGACACTTGGGGGAGTCAGGCAAGCAGCCGATTACCAACGGACAGGGAAAATTTTCAACACAGCATTTTAGCAACTACAATAGCCACGTCAGGGACTCTGGTGGTGTCCAGCCCCAGTGATAACGACATGAGATCAACAAGGCATGAGGTGGGGAGCATGTGGGGCTCAGGGAAGGCTTCCTGGGGGAAGTGACATCTGAGACAAGTTAACTAGAGTGCTCTTGGCAGAGGGAAGAGGGCTCAGCATTTCAGGTGGTGTAAGTGGCAGTATGACTTCCTCAGTATAACAGGAGGAAGGAGAGGCAAGAGATTAGACGGGCAGGTAAGGAGAGTGGTGGGGCGGCGACTGTGTTAACCATGGTCGGCAGCTTGGGCTTGTCCTCAGGGCAACAGAGCAATGGGGAGCCATTGCAGGATTTTATTTAAAATCCTGGGGGTTACCTGATCCAATTTACAAACCCCTCAGGAGACTCCAAGGGGTCTATTTTTCCAGAAACAAGAACCAACGTGTAGGGAGGTTAAAACTCCTGCCAGATGTCACGCGGCAGGTTGAACATGGAATGGATGGAACTGCTCGCCTCTAGATCACCTTCTCCTGTGCACATCACGTGCCACAGGGGCTTCCCATCCATATACAGGGCTTTAGAGTTTCTGAGGCACTTATCAGATTACAAAGCTGTTTCCATCCACGCTCATTTGATTTTCCGCCACAACGCTGTGTTACAGGCAGGGATGCTGAAGGGATTGAAATACAGGGAGGTTTCGAGACCTAGTAAGTAATGAAACCTCGATTCAGATCCAAGCCTGAAGACTCCTCATCCACGCTGGCATTTGCATTGGTCACTTAGGGGTGTAAATACCAGCAACAGAAGTGGCTATTTATAAAAGGAAATCTGGGGGCTCATGTACTAAAAAGTTCATGAGAGGTGGAATTCAGGCATGGATGGCTCCAGGTCTTCAAATTATGTCATCAAAGATCCTCCTTGCTCTGTCTTTGTTTTCCTCTATGTTGACTTTCTTCTTAGATTCTCCCATCAAAGCAGAGACAGGCTCCCAACCCACCAGTTTGGCAATCCTGGTCACAAAGAACCATACTTTCCTGATAGCTATAGCAAAAGTCTCAGCTTTCATTTTATGACCTGACTTGGCTCGTGTGCACACCTCTGAACCGGATACTGTGGCCAGAGACAGCTGCATGGTTATGACTGGCTAAGACTGGGCCATGTGTCCAGCCCTGGAGTCAGGCAAGAGGGATCCGCCTCCCAGGACCACATGGACTAGGGGTAGGGGAGTTGTGTCTCCTAAAGGAAAACAATGGCGCTCTCCTAGGGAACAGCAAACACATACTGGGCATAAGAATTAACAGTCAAGTGATAGAACAACTGCCCAGCATTGGGAAGAGGCTACTCACCTGGGCTTGGGGGGGTTCCTCTCTGACCAAGGAGCTCAAAGTGGTGGCTGGCAGGGTCTGCCTGGTGCCTGCCTCTTGGGGCGGAAGTCCTGCCCCTCCGAAGAGCCCCACCTTAGCCAGAGCCAGCCAGCAAGCTGTAGGCCTGGCCCAGAAGCCACTTCCCTTCTGCTACATGCCAGTTTTCAGCCTGTGCTTGCTGGGGCTGAGATGGGAGTCTGGTTCCTCTTAGCAGGCAGAACTTAGTCATGGTGTGACCTAAACATTTTTAAATGCATAAAAATAAAATTAAAAAAGCCAAGAGTGAGTCCAAAATGACCTTATTTGCAATATTCTTCATTTGTGAGTCTCTCCTCATCCCATTCTCAATGAGACCTGCTGTTGGGCTAGGGCTTATACTGCAAAACCACCCCAAAGGCAGAATTGGCTAGTGTTTAACACTACAGACTCTGGCCCTGGCTGGTGTGGCTCAGTGGACTGAATGCCAGCCTGAGAACCCAAAGGTCACCAGTTTGATTCCCAGTCAGGGCACATGCCTGGGTTGCAGGACTGGTCCCCAGCTCGGGGAGTGTGATGTATCCCTTACACATTGATGTTTCTCTCCCTCTCTTTCTCTTTCTCTTCCCCTCTCTCTAAAAATAAATAAATGGAATCTTTAAAAATATACTAAAAAGATGCAATTCTGACTCTGTGAATAGATTTGAAGTTTCACTAACACTTTAAAAAAAAATGAACAAGCCCTGACCAGTATGACATCATCCCACAAGGGTGAAAGGTTGCTGGTTTAATTCCTGGTCAGGACACATCCCAGTCAGGAAACAAACAGGCAAGAGGCAACCAGTCGATGTTACTCTCTCACATCCATGTTTCTCTTCCTCTCGTTCTCCGTCCCTTCCCCTCTCTCTCTTAAAAAAATAATAATAATAACAAGAAAGGCAAGGTCCTTTCTGATCCGGATAGTCAAGAGCTTGGGCCCTGGCTGGAGAAGACTAGGTTCAAATCTGGGGGACACTGGGCTGTGTTGATTCCAGCCAATTATGTAAACTCTGACACCTGTGTTTTCTCCTTAATGAAATGCAGGTAACAACAGTCCTGCTCCTTGGGAGTGGTGTGAGGAGTAAATGAACTGAAACCTGCAAAGTACTAAATATATCTAGATGTTCAATGAAGAACTTTACAAAACACTATTATTTTTTTAAAGATTTTATTTATTTATCTTTAGAGGGGAAGGGAAGGAGAGAGGGAGAGAAATATCAATGTATGATTGCCTCTCATGTATTCCCTACTGGGACCTGGCCTGCAACCTAGGCACATACCCTGGCTGGGAATCGAACTATAGTCCTCTGGTTCACAGGCCCACGCTCAATCCACTGAGCCACACCAGCCAGGGCTTATTGCTATTATTTGAAAGAACCTATATAACACCTTGTGGGTAACCTGGCGGAGAGTTAGTGCTCAGTAGATGTGTGGGCATTTTTAGAGGTTGTCAGAGCCTTCCTCTCCCTGTCAAGGGGAAGGAACTCAGTTTCTGGGGGAAGGGTACTGGCCCAAGGTCTCCAGCGAAGTCAGAGGCAGAGCTCAGGCTGGGCGTGCAGGCAGCAGACTAAGGAGGTTCCTCAAAGAGGTGATTCAGGATGCGCATGGAAACCCCCTTTCCTCACTGCCCAGAACTTCGCAGATCTCAAACCTCTTTCTTTTTCTGTTTTAGTCCTTTCCCCCCATTTTAAACAATGAAAGGATGACTTACATTTAGTAAAATGCACCCTTTCTGGTGTTCGGGTCTGTGAGCTTTGACAGACACATGCCGTTGTGTATCCAGCCCTCTGCCAGACGGAGGCAGTTCCACGTGCCCTCTGCAGACCCAC